ACAGGCCTGTCTCAGGAAAAGAAGAACAATCCCATATGAACAGTCTAAGCTGACAATTAATGAAACTAAGAAAAGAACAAATGAGACCCAAAGTCAGTAGAAAGAGGTACAAAATAAAGATCAGAGCAGAAATAAAATTGAGATGAATAAAACAAAAGCAGGAGCTGGTTCTTCGAGAAAATAAACAAAATAGATAAACCCCTGACAAGACTTATCAAGAAAAAAAGAGTCTGCACACATAAACAGAATCAGAAATGAGAAAGGAAAAATCACTACAGATATCACCAAAATACAAAGAATTATTAGAGACTACTATGAAAAATTATCTGCTAACAAACTGGATAACCTAGAAGGAATGGACAAATTTCTAGAAAAATACAACCTTCCACAGCTGACGCAGGAAGGAACAGAAAATCTGAACAGACCAGTTACTAACAATGAAATTGAACTGGTAATCAAAAAACTACCTAAAAACAAAACTGCTGGACCAGATGGCATCACCACTGAATTTTATAAAAAATTTAGTAAAGACCAAATACCCATCCTCCTTAAAGTTTCCCAAAAAGTAGAAAAGGAGGGAATACTTCCAGACATTCAATGAGGCCAATGTCACTCTAGTACCAAAACCAGGCAAAGACACTACAAAAAAAGACAACTATAGACCAGATTTTGATAAAAATCAGTGGTGAAGCCATCTGGTCCAGGACTTTTGTTCTTAGGTAGTTTTTTGATTACCAATTCAAATTCATTGCTGGTAGTTGGTCTGTTCAGATTTTCTGTTCCTTCCTGGGTCAGCATTGGAAGGTTGTATTTCCTGGAAATTTGTCCTGTTTCTTCTAGGTTATCCTTTTTGTTTACACATACTTTTTCGTAGTAGTCTCTAATAATTCTTTGTATTTCTGTGGTGTCCATAGTGATTTTTCCTTTCTCATTTCTGATTCTGTTTATGTGTATAGACTCTCTTTTTTTCTTGATAAGTCTGGCTAGGGGTTTATCTGTTTTGTTTATTTTCTCAAAGAACCAGCTCCTGGTTTCATTGATTCTTTCTGTTGTTTTATTCCTCTAGATTTTATTTATTTCTTCTCTGATCTTTATTATGTCCCTCCTTCTACTAACTTACTAACTTTGGGCCTCATTTGTTCTTTTTCTAGTTTTGTTAATTGTGAGTTCAGACTGCTCATTTGGAGTGTTCTTTTTTCTTGAGATAAGCCTGTTTTGCTATATACTTTCCTCTTAGAACTGCCTTGGCTGCATCCCACAGAAGTTGGGTTGTTTAGTTGTTTTCATTTGTCTCCATATATTGCTTGATCTCTGGGGGTTTTTTTTGGGGTCATTGATCCATTGATTATTTAGGCTCATGTTGTTAAGACTCCATGTGTTTGTGGGCTTTTTTGATTTCTTTGCATAATTTATTTCTAGTTTCATACCTTTGTGGTCTGAGAAGCTAGCTGGTACCCTTTCAATCCTTCTGAATTAAGTGAGTCTCATCCTGTGGCCTAGTTTATGATCTATTCTGGAAGTTGTTCCATGTGCACTTGAGAAGAATGTGATGCTGTGCTTTAGGTGGAGTATACTGCAGATATCTTTTAGGTCCATCTGTTCTAATGTGTTGTTCACTGCCTCTGTCTCCTTACTTATTTTCTGTCTGGTTGATCTGTCCTTTGGATTGAATGGTGTGTTGAAGTCTCTTAAATGAATGTATTACATTCTATTTCCCCCTTTAGTTCTATTAGTATTTGTTTCACATATGTAGGTGCTCCTCCATTGAGAGCATAGATATTTGTAATGGTTACATCTTCTTGTTGGACTGACCCATTTATCACTATGTAATATACTTCCTTGTCTCTTGTTACTTTCTTTGTTTCGAAGTCTATTTCATCTGATGCAAGTACTGCAACTCCTGCTTTTTTCTCCCTATTATTTGCATGAATTATCTTTTTTCCATCCCTTCTCTTTTAGTCTGTGTATGTCTTTGGGTTTGTCATGTGTCTCTTGTAAGCAGCATATAGATGGGTCTTGTTTTTTTATGTGTTCAGTACCTCTGTGTCTTTTGATTGGTGCATTCAGTCCATTTACAGTTAGGGTGATTATCAATAGACATGTACTTATTGCCATTTTAGACTTTTGATTTGTGAATACCAAAGGTTCAAGGACAGCTTTATTATCTAACAGTCTGTCTTAACATGCTTATTACTCTGTTTCAAACTCAATCTAAAGGTTCTTTTTTTTCACTCCCCTTCTTTCCTTCCACCTCTACTCTTTATATATTAGGTGTCATATTCTGTACTCTTTGTGTATTCCTTGACTGACTTTGTGTGTAGTTGATTTTATTTTGTATTTGCTTAGTAATTAATTTGTGTACTTCCTTCACTGTGGTTTTATTTCCTCTGGTGACAGACACCTCTTTAGCCTTTGGAGCACTTCCATCTAGAGCAGTCCCTTGAATAAACCCTGTAGAGATGGTTTGTGGATGATGAATTCCCTTAACTTTTGCTTCTCTGTAAATTGTTTAATCCCTGCTTCAAATTTAAATGAGTATCTTGTCAAGTAGGGTATTCTTCATTTGAGGACCTTCTGTTTCATTACATTAAATATATCATGTCACTTCCTTCATTCCCTTCTGTCCTGTAAGGTTTCTGCTGAGAAGTCTGATGATAGCCTGATGAGTTTTCCTTTGTATGTGACCATTTTTCTCTCTCTGGCTGGTCCTTGTCCTTGGTCTTTGCCATCTTAATTTTTATATTTCTTTGTCTTTTATTCCTGTGGTTCCTTGTTTTGGGAAATCTCTCTACTTCCATAACATGAGGGACTATTTCCTTCCCCAGACTGGGGAAATTTTCAGCAATTATTTTGTCAAAGAGGCTTTCCCTTTGTCTCTCACTTCTTCTTCTGGTACCCCTATAATGCAAATATTGTTCCATTTTGATTGGTTGTACAACTCTCTTACTATTCTTTCATTCCAAGAGATCCTTTTCTCTCTTTGTGCCTCAGCTTCTTTGTTTTCTCTTCTCTAATTTCTATTTCATTACTGTCTCTTCCTCATCTAATCTACGTCCAAATCCCTCTATTGTATGATTCATTTCAGATACTGTATTTTTCAAAGTTTCTGTCTCTTTGTTGAAGTTCTTCCTGATAACTTGGATATTTTTCTGTGGCTCTAAGACCATGTTTACGACTTTTATATTGAAATCTTTATCAAGATTGGTGATTTCAGTTTCATGGAGCCCCCTTTCTGTTGTTTTTTGCCTGTGATTTTGTTTGAACCAAATTCTTTTGCTGTTTCATATTTCTAGTGTTTCCTGTGGAATAATAACTTTGTGTAGGCAGCACCCTCTATTGCCCAGAAGGTCTCCTCTCCGGAGCTGCCGAGTACCTGCCACAATGGTGGAGGTCAGAGGTCAGTGGAACCAACCCCTGCTTAGAGGAAAGAGCTCTCTCCTGCTTTCTGGCTGTAAAGCCTGCCACCACTGCCAGTACAGTGGGTGGTGCTTGCAGGGAGGAGCCTCTGTGCTACACCTCTGTAGCTGCAATGGACAGAGCCGTTCTCCAGCTGGCCTGGTGCCATGGCATTGTGGCAGGTGAGCAGGACTTGTGCCTGCTTGGAGGAAGGAGCTGCAGGCTTCATATTGCAGTGGGGCCCTCATGGCTCCTTACTAGCTAAGGTTATGGAGTGTCTGAAGCTCCTGAGAGTTTCCATCCTGCTGGGGTGAGCATCCTGGGATTGTTTTGTCCACCTTTTTTCTTGAGCAGAGTACTGTGTAATCTTTGTCCTTTTAGTGTCCTTCTCATTGCTGGAAAGTCCTTCAAACTACACACCTTTCTTTTGTCCCTGGGGGCCGGTAGTGTGTACCTGTTTTCCAATAGCAGCTGGAATCTCAGTCTTTCTGAGTATTGTTCCTGTCCTTGTTTTCCAACAGCACTAATCTTCAGAGCACCATGTAATGTGGGTTTGTGCTCCCAGGGCAGATCTCAAGGGCTGGGGTGAGGAAAGGGCTTGAGTGCCGCTGGTTCACAGCGCTTACCCTGCTCCTTTTCTGTGAGGTCTTCTCTTTCGCCCAGATGTAGACAGTCTGTTTTGCAGTCTTCTGGTTGCTTTTTCAGGATTAGTTGTATTTGCTGTATTTTTTTGTTTTATGTGATTTTGGGAGGAGGTTTCTGCTTCACTTCTCTCACCACCATCTTTTTCCTCTTCTTTTGAGTACTTTTTAAAGCAAAAGATGAGCTATTTTCATTGAATAAATTCGGTTACCTTATCAGAAACTTTTAGGATATAATTAATTGCTTACAGTAATTTTATAACTTAAAACAAGTACCATTATTTATGTTTGATTACACTAGGCATGTAGATCTATCCCTAAGTGTGTATAAAAATAACTTTTATCATAAGCATATTTCATTTTAAGAAAACCCCCTTATCAGTACTTAGAATGGGTAGAAAAATAGCCCATAGTGTACTTTTTACCTTATCCTTAACTTGTGGGTCTTTACAGAGGATGCCTATCATACCTGCTGGGAAAGTACTCAGGCTATAGCCAAGGAAAAGATAGAGGCAAGTCAGTTACTTTTGAAGTCCAGAGCACTGCTGTGCAAGGAAAGTTCTGTAAGATGGACATGGTTTATATGCTTGCCATTCATTACAGTAGCAGTTAGCCATGTGTGCCTATTGAACACTTGAAATATTTCAGTGGCTAGAATATAGAATTTTAGATTTCACTTATTTTTAATTAAATAGCCACTGTGGCCAGTGGCTACCACATTGGTAAGCACAATCGAGACCAAATTTCATCAGTCCCAGTGTTTTAAAATAGGATTTACTTATGGAAAATTAGGTTGCACATTTTTTCATCCTTAAGAAAGTACTCCTAATACTGTGGTTTTCAACTGTACATTTAAAATACTTAATTTTAATTAAAATTAATATACAGATATTTTCAGGATATTCTTAAAATAATACAGTGTTTTATTTGTAATTCCTATTTTAAAATACATTTTTCTTACAGATAATGAAAAGTATGAAATTATTAAGCGTGATATTCTCCGTGGAAAGTCAGTGCCACATTACGCTGCTATCGAGCCTGATGGGAATGGTCTAATGATTGTCTCCTACAAGTCCTTCACATTTGTTCAGGGTAGCCAAGATCTTGAAGAAAACAAGGATGAAAACATGTCAGAGAAAATCAAAGGTAATTTTACTTTTAATCTTCATAAAGTTTGTGTACATTTCTGTATATACCCACTTATGTCTGGTTTGTCTTCCTGATTACGTGTTTTACCAAGGCAAAATAGATGATTAATTTTTTATATTTCCCAGAATAATCTTTTATAAAATGTACTACCTAAGCAGTGTGAGCTAGCTTAATTAGATAATTCTGTGATTACCAAAAATGTTTTTAAAAAATTTGTATGTTAGCTTATTTGAACTTCCTGATTACGTGTTTTACCAAGGCAAAATAGATGATTAATTTTTTATATTTCCCAGAATAATCTTTTATAAAATGTACTACCTAAGCAGTGTGAGCTAGCTTAATTAGATAATTCTGTGATTACCAAAAATGTTTTTAAAAAATTTGTATGTTAGCTTATTTGATGAGATGTTTAATAAATATTTATTGAATGATTAATACTGTCTATTTGTTGGCAGTTGAGAACCAGCATGTTAGTATTGAAAATGTTAATCTTTAAAATAAACTAAACTCTTTACATTATATACATACATGAATATACGTTTTTATAGCTTTTGTACTAAACTGAAGGAAATTCCTTGAGAGCAGAATTACTAAGTTTTTCCCTGTGTCAAATGAATGAACATAGATGTTTTAGAATATAAAGCGTAACAAAGACTTTAGAAGAAATTTATATTTATATACAAAGAATATTTATTCTTCTAAAGCTATTCAGAAGAACATTTTTCTATAATCATTACCATTCATATTTCTGATGTTTATAACCAGAGAGTAGCATATTTTACCTAACAGAAATTTTCACATTATTGAACAGTTATACATCTTATTCTTTGAATGCACCTTTTTTGTTAAACAATTTTTAATTATATAAAATAAAAACTAGTTTCACTATTTTTATGTTTATAGCTTTCTAAATAATGAATTATTTGAAAAGTATTTGAAAATATTAATGTAATAAGTATTCTTGTCCATTTGATATTGTCATAATAATAGTATTTGCTTTGAAAAACCTAAAACATGATCTCCAAAGACACAGAAATGCACTCAGCACAACCAACAATTGAGAAAATTATTTAGGTTCTTGTATACTTTTAGTGAAGAGAGGATTAAATAATTCTTAATTTTTTCCCTTTAGTCTGTTTATATGGCTTTTAATTTATACTAAAATCTCATGTGATTTGCAGACTCCTCCTTCTCCCATATCTAGAAGAACTTACCACAGAGTGATTACTATGTATAAACTACCTTGTTAACTTTTCTGGTAGACAGAAGGATGAATAAAACAAATTATTTGCTTTTAGTTATTTTAAGTTATTTTAGTTATTTTAATTATAGTTATTTTAAGCTATAGATGAAACTTTTTCAGTGAGTTTATATTAAAAGTACTTCTAAAGCCAAGAGAGAGAGGATCTGCGAGGGTGCTTAAAGGAATGTGGTGCAAAGTTAGAAATTAGCCCAAAGTAACAATTTCATTTTGAAAATTCATGCATTATTTTATATTTACTTTATAAACCTCTTTGTTAAAATAAGTATATTTTATTTTAAAATTTTTATTGGGATATATACAAAAAATGCACAAATTCTAATGTACAGCCTGATGAATTTTGGCATGTGTGTGCATTCATGTAACCATTGCCCTGATGAAGATACCAAACTTTCTAATTTTTTTCCCTTCACCTGTTTCACCCATTCTTCCACCCACTTCCCATTTAGTACCTACCAGTTTGTCCTCTGTGTTTATGGGTCCATTTCAGTTTTGTTTGTTTGTTTTCTAGATTCCACATAAAAGTGAAGTCATATTGTATTTGTCTTATTCTGACTTACTTAACCTTGCATCTATTGATAGACCTTTAGGTTTTTCCCTTATTTCAGCTATTGTAAATAATCCTGCAATAAACACAGCAGTGCATGTATTTTTTCAGAATAGTGATTTTTTTTTCTTTGGATAAATTCCCAGAAGTGGAATTGCTGGGTCAGATGGCATTTAATTTTTTCTTTTGAGAACCTCTATACTGCTTTTCATAGTGTCTGCATCAACTTGCAGTCCCACCAGCAGTGTAGCAGAGTTCTCTTTTCTCCACATTCTGACTAGTGTGAGGTGACATCTCATTGTGATTTTCATTTGCATTTCCCTGATGATTAGTGATGTGGAGCATTTTTCCTTGTGTCTGTTCGCCATCTGTTTGTCTTGGAAGAATGTCTGATCGGGTCCTCTGCCCAGTTTTTCATTGGGTTGTTTTTTTGATGTTGAAGTATATGATGTATCATTTAGATATTAGCTCCTTATTAGACACAATAATTTGCCAATATATTCTCCTATACAGTCAGTTGCCTTTTTATTTTGTTGATGATTTCCTTAGCTGTGCAGAAGCTTTTTAGTTTGATACAATTCCACTTACATTTGCTTTTTTTTTTTTTTT